CCCCAAAACCCCAAAACCCCAAAACCCCAAAACCCCATCATCTTTTATAATAATTTATGGAGATAGTTTATGGTCCTGACCAAGCTCCGTTCATAGTCGAACACCAGGATTTTCTAGATGCTAGCCTTGAGCCAGGATGTCATCAATGATTTAGCTATATTAAAAATGAAGAAAATGCATATTGAACTGACTGAAAATTAAGCTTTTGAGAAGACTGTTCAAGCACACACCAAATCATCGGAAAATGAGTTCGAAAATAAGGCAATCGATAACATCCAGGTACGAGCTTCCCCTGAACTTCGTAAAATTGATCAAATTTGTTTCTTTCTCACAATTTTTCTCTTAAACTTCCCATTCCCAATGCTTCTGCAAATTTTAATTTTTAACCTGCTTCATTGCACTACTCTAGTGAGCTTATCTCAAAGACGACCAGTTGTTCAAGCCTTTGTTCGAGGCAATCTTAATTATAAAACTCGAATGAATGAATCTGCGTAAGAAGATCAGAGAAATCGAACTGTCCAAGATTAAAATAAGAGAAGCGAAGGTGAGCAGCCTCAGCACAATTCCGATGCACAGTGTAAAACTCGAGGTAGATTGCTCGAACCTTCTAGAAAAGGATGATCCCGAGATGAAGCGCATCGTAGAAGAATACCTGCAGAAGGTCAACAAGATGGGCGATCAGCTGCAGTCTGAAAGACTGCGGCAGATGAAGAACTGCCAACTGCAGTTCGACAAGAAGCTCGGCTTCTTGAATGAGAAACAGGAGGAGATTAAGCAGAAGTATTCTGTTAAATTCAAGGATTACCTCGAAAAACATACTGCTACAGCTAGGCTCCTGGCTCAGTACGAGGAATGTGAAGACGAGCAAGCGGATTTCGAGGATATTAGAAAGTTGTTCTGTGACGGGGAGGATGAAAAGACTGGCGATTTTGATAGTGATGTTGAAAGAGTATCCTCTCCCTCGAGCAATAAAGACCCAGTAGACCTCGAAGACATCAAACTTGACGAAAAGGCCAAAAACCCCATCAAACCCTCCCCCTGCCAACCCTCCTCCTAACCCAACCCAATCCTAACCCTCGACCCTTCTAACTCTCCATCCCAATATGCCATGTTCCTTCTATTATAGGTCAATTTTTTAACCTCCAAAAGGGGTTTTGGGGTTTTGGGGTTTTGGGGTTTTGGGGTTTTGGGG